AGGGTAGCCCCAGTCGGTAAGATAGATAAAAAAGGGGGGAAAGGAGAGGAGAGGGGGGATTGATTTGAACAGTTTATTTACCAAGGTCAAAAGACCGAATGGCAATCAGCAATAGTTTACAATAAGCACAGATAACAAAAAAGTAAGCAAGTATTGAGCCAAATGATACAATCAGTAGCAAAAATTAGGTTAGAATAACAAAATTTCACAAATTTGAAATTATAATACGCAATTAAAAGTAGCGCAATTAAAATTTAAGTACTAAAAATATTTACAAGCATAGATATGTATAATTAAAAGCAAATAAATGTGAAAATATACAAATGAGCGCAATAGATATATAGAAATTAGTGAACAGTCTGCTGCCACCTCAGGTAATGATCAAGCAACGTCTTGAACGATGTCAGGGAACCCGACGACCGCAGTCGAGCAGAAAGCGCATTCCACGAGTTGGCTGCTCTCACAGAGAATCCTACTTTCAAAGTGGAGGAATCCGCAATTGGGACCTCAATTGTCGGTGCTCCACCCCCAATTCTCGCCGATCTACGGACTCCATCGCCCGTCCAGCGATAGAGGTCCAAGATGTATGCAGGTTATAGTCCATTAAGTACTTTAAACGATTGGATGTATAGGAAATATTCACGCCTCTGCGATGGAGACAGCCAATCAAGCCTGGTGTAATAAGGCCGTAGCGCAGCGTCTCTTGGTAGCTGGAAAATATAGCGTTTAGTAGGCGTTTAGTAAGCGCCTGATCTTGATGCCCGATGAAGCAGAGATGTCAATGAAGGCGAGGCAGGCGTAATCGAAGTGAGGCATGATGAAAGCGTTGACAAGCATCTTCTTTATGCTAAGGGGCAGAAACCGGCCCCAGCTCGCAAACGATGAAGCACTCCATGAATGCGAGAGGAAATGCCTCTAATATGCGCGTCCCAAGAGAGCAAATGAGTCATAACAAAGGGAAAGGAGGGAGTAGTAGTGGTGGGGAGAGGTAGAACTCCCATTGTTTAGCTACTTGAATTCTTTCCAGTTGGTAGGATTGAATGCAATACCTTTATTATCATAGCCCAATAAACATATAGTAAGTATAAATTCAGTATCTACAAGATTTTCATATTCGAGTCAAACGTGTACTTTTTTGGTCCAAGATTTGTTAAGAATGAATACTTTTCAACCGATTGGGAAGCGACAAGCCATTTTCACTCGAGAGAGTGTTAAAGTGCTCGGAACTCCAGCTTGCTTTTATATCGTAAAAGTGCTGAGATCTATTAATGACATCTTGCAATTGGAATTTTGTATATAATGAACAAAACATTCCTCGCTACCGTTTATTGTCAGCATTTTTGAATTTTATATATTTTCGAACAATAGTGTCATTTTCATCTGAATCATCAGAAAAATCTTATATAGAATAAAAGTATTAAACAATACTGGCCGCAAAGATCTGTTGTAAAACTCTGTAATTTTACGGTGTTATAACGATAACTTTTACAATTTTTACGTATTTTTTTGATATGTAGAGTAGGGCGGAGCGAAAAAACCCTTTTGTCGCCGAACGCTTTCTAATAGCAATAGAACGTTAGTATAAATCAAGAAAAGAGAAAAGCCGCGAGGTAGGCGCATACAAATGATATCTTCAGTTAGCGCATGAAGCTCGAAGTTTGAATTTCGTAAAAACAATATAATCATGCTTCAGAAGTAAATCACAGCAAAATCTCTCGGCGTCGAATTGATCGGTCGGGCTGAAAGTTTCAGGGCTTGTTTTACATGTGAACACGAGTTTCTCTGTAAAATTTTAGCCCTCTAGGTGCCTTAGAAATAAAGATATAGTCATAGGAAGGTTGAAAAACGACGTTACATTAATTTTTTTTTGTGCTATTTCTATCTTTGTACACCTGTACGTTGCGTAATTTTGATGCTATTGAGACGAACGAGTAATGAATTTTTTCGTCTTTTAAAGACGTTTTCAACCGTATAAGTTTGTATAGGGGTTTTTAAATTTTTACTGAAGTTACAACATAAAAAGTCTAAACTTTTGTGTCGCGATCGAAACTACATTTGTTATTATTTTTTCGGTTTGTTAAGAGTTACACATGCTAGACTAACTTGAACCCCAATGATAGTTATATGGTCTTAAAGAGCATAAAATTAACTTTAATTTGGTGTATGTAAAAAGTTTTTAAGTCCTCTAGAACCGAAGATACAGCTGTTTGAAGTTTTACTGAAAATTCAAGATTCAATTGACGAATTCAAGATTCAATTGACGAATTTTAAGAATTAATAATCAGTAAGTGAATTTTGTAAAATTGTTATTTTTGATGACTCCATTTTGTGTATTAACTTAAAGGGCAGTTTTCATTTTTTGATGAGTTGACACCTGCACTTAAGAAATCATTACTCAATATCTTAATTATTTGACGAAATGACTCCATCTTATATTTAATTTGAGATAATTAGCTTGTGACGTAAAAAATCCAATTTTTCTTCTCTTGGACTTCTTATACGCGAAAAACTTCGAAATAAAAACAAAATGAAAATTTATGGCGACAAAAATGTATAATTGGAACTTATTAGTAGAGTGTAAAAATGCTTCTTCATTAAAAAATGTCTAAGCATTCCATATAAGTTCCAGAATGAAAATAATTAAAGCAATAATTAGCCAAATTAATGTACATTCAAAATATAGTAAAACGTCTTCGTAATCGAGGTGAAAATTTTTGGATTCCTTGACTCTAGATATATTTTTTAAATTCATGTTCGACCTATCTTCCAAATGGAAAGTTTGTTGTATTCCAGAAGCATGCATATACTGTAAAATTTTATTGATTCTCTGCAGATAAGGCGATCCTTTGGTTAAAACCAATCTAGTGGTAAGTTTCCAAGGGCAATCTTTCATGAGCTTCATAACTTTTTTTCCATACAAAACCTCACCAGCGTGCTCCACTAATTGTCCCGTCGATTCGATCATTAAACAAACTGTGTTTTTTTGCAAAACTACTCTCTCTAAGCAATTTTTCCGACTTTTCCAGTCGTCTATATCAAGATTGTGATGTTCACGATCTTTATCAGTAATGCTCAAATATCGGTCTTTAATCAATAATTCTTCGTAATCCGCCTAAAAAGTTAGCGATGAGCATTATTGAAAAAGATTTAGCTTCCAAATTTTACACATTATCATTCACATACTTGTATCGTAAAGGAATGATCCAATAGGTCAACCAAACTTTTAAATTTTGCTTCTTCCAAATCTAAACGATGTTCGACAATTGACATGAAAATTTGAAAAAAAATAATTATAGAAATAATGATAGTAAAAAAAAAAACTATTTTCTCTGACACTCTTTTAGGTTGTTCACGTTTGCAAGATTGACCAAAAATAAATTGAAGCATAATGATAAACTTCCAAAATTTTGGTTCAAAATCTAAAATTCGCATAATGAAATTAATAATTATTGCTGCTATGAAACAAACAGATAAATTTAAAAATTGATGAATATTAAAGTGATGCACGTGAGATTTAGTCAAAATTGGAACAACGGCACAAAATTGACTGTATGTAATGGGTTCTGTAAATTCAAAATCTTGTACAACTTCGTATTCTGAACTATAAATGCGTTCATTAGCAATCAAATCGGCGTTTCCTTTTTTTAATTCTTTGAAAAAGTCATCTCGGCGAATTTCCGTAAGAAGATTGTTCCTTAAAACATGCAAAGCAATTTAAGAATAAATTATTAACTTACATTTCATACTTACTTATCATCATCTGTGCGTTGTACAAAGTGTATATGAAAATTCATTCCTTTGGCGATATACTTCAACAAATTAAGTTGTGAACCAACTATATTGGTAACCGATCCCTCAGAATCTCGTAACAAATTAACGTAAGGAGGTTCATTAATCATATCTACTCTCAAAGTAAAGCCATGAAGATTTTTTATAAAATCGGGAAATAGTTGTATATTAGGTTTACAATTAAATGAACTATGAACTTTCTGAAATGGATCATACTGGTGAATGGTAGCATTATATGATGAAGATTTCAGAAAAAGTTGAGATGATTTCTCGGTAAAAAAATGAACAATCCGCATCATAGTTAAGTCTAAAAATTTTTTCGACCAAGCGTAATCAAGTATGCTATTATCGCACTCATGGGAAATACAGATCAATATAATTGATTTTTCTCTTGAAGACCATAATTGTTGATACAAAGTATCGATAACTCTTTTTATTGATGTAGTATTTGTATCAACAACGATGAATGTAGTTTTTGGATAAATATTAATTTTTCTCTTCTGATCGAATAAGTAATATCGTGGTAAGGTTGGTTTGAAAAGTATCGTTGGCGTATACGACTGTGAACTTTTCAAAAGCTCATTATGTATAGTAGAAATTGTCCAAGTCGGTAAATCATTATTGTAAATTACAACTATTTGATAAGTGGACGAAAAATTCGAATCGTAATGATTTCTTAAGTTCACGACACACTCAATTAAATTTTCTGAAGTTGTAAAGACGAGATTGACAACTGTGCACAATATCAAAAATAAAACAAAAACATCACCAAACATTGTGAGAATAAATTTTTTTTAAGTATCAGTCTAGTGACTCATGTTCAAAAGAAGAAAAATCATTCATTGTCATTATTAAATAGTTACCTTCAAAGGTAAATATACATAATGATCTTGCAGACTGTAAAATTTTTTAAGAGCAATTTTCTTTGAAATAAGTAGAAATCAATATCTGATCAATTTTTATGATACAAAATGTCGCTATAATGCCAAGACTATAAATAAAGTAATAATAGTTATAACTACCAGAGGATTATATGAAAAAGAAAAATGTAAAATTACAGAATATAAAAATTAATGTGTAGACTTATAAAATTCATTCACAAGACGAACAATTTTACTAAAAAATTTGAATTTTCTCCTCCCCTCCATGCTCTTTCAAAATATTAATTTACTCGTTTCCAGAACGAGCATGTTTTTATATGTCAATTGCAAATGTAGAGTTTCACTCGTTATCAAGGCCCTATGTTAGTCCTTGATGAATATCATAAATACTTGAAAGAAATAAATTAGCTTACTTCGTCACTTTTGTGTACCTAGAAAGAAAGATTTTATGTATAGAAATATGCTCGCTATAATCCATGTATAGTAATTTTGCAGACGACAGTGTCTAATGTCTACACAGTAGACAGCCGTGAGCCGACAGGCTATGTATACACTCAAAATAGAGACTTCAATCTAACCTGTACTAGCAAAGTAAATTAACAAAATTTTAATTGTAACTAAACAAATTGTTCATTCATTTATCGAAACATTTTTCTTTTTAATATTTTAAGTAAGATTCAGTAACATTTAATATGTCAATAAAAAACATATAATTATAAAAAATAACCTTGCAAACGTTGCTTATAGAATCTTAAACTTAAGTTGTTTGAGATTGAGTTTTCTATATCAAATTTTCAAATATTTCAGCATGAATCTTCCAATGTTGTGTATGCAGTCTCGAGGACTCTCTACATCTTCGGCTTTAAGTCAAGTGATAAGACTGACTCGTCTGAGGGTAGTTGATAACAGTGAAATTGGGAAACAAGCAATGGCAGAAGGAAAACCTCCTTATGTTTTCCATGTTTACAATAAAATGGGTGTTGGTTATATAGGTAATTTAATAAAGATGTTATAGAGTAAGCTTTGCTATATAATTTCTGTGCGTCAAATTTTCTTAGTGTTTTAGATCTATTGCTAATCATTGAATTTAAAACACATTTTTGATTAATTATATTATCTAAACATAATATATTTATTAGACATTCAGAATGTTTTCAAAAAAATAGTTATATATTCAATAAACAGACATCCTTGAAAAAATGAATTAACACTAATTAAAAACTTAAAAACTTAAAAACTTTTGTAAAAAATATTGAGTGATATTTACAAACTTCAAAAACTGTATTTGAAATTTTTATTATTGACACACCAATTACTATATTGTAAATAGAAGTTATTTCATTATCTTAGTTGTTACATTTAGATTTTAAATTTTTATGCAGAAGTATCCTTACCTAGTGTAAATTTTGATAAAGAACTTATTTGACATTTGTACATTTTTATTCAATTTGTTTTTTTCAGGAGACAGAGTTATGGTAGCAATAAAAGGAGAAAAGAAAAAAGGCATTCTTGTAGGATTAAAACAAAATCAAAAAAAGAAAGTACCTAAATTTGATACCAATAATCTTGTCCTCATAGAAGATAATGGATCACCAATCGGTACAAGGATTCATGTACCAATACCACATATTTTGAGGACCCTCATGAAAGAAAAAACTCATTCAAAGGGAGCAGATTATACTAAACTTATTGCTATAGCCTCAAGATTTATTTAGGGTTTATGAATGTTAATATAGAATTAATTTAATATTGTAAAAATTTTAATAAACTTAAATGTTATGTTGTAATCTAAAGAACTAATTTTTTTTATTAAAACAAACATAAAATGTTTTTGTTGTATTTATCATATTAGTAAATAGTTTTTGACCTTAGAAAAAAGGAATAACTCTTTTTCAAAAACGAAAAAAAAAACAATAAAATTTTCAGGTGCAATATATTGATTACGATAAAGATTAAAATCATTGAATTTTCATTATCGTCAATTTCCTTGAATAATTTCGACTTAAAATCAAGTCAACTTTTTTATGTTATCGAGCGAGTCATTTCATCAATATTTGGTTTAGCTCCCTCTAGCGATAAAATAATAAGTTAACTTTCCAACCAAGTTTCGTTTTTGTGTTCACAGTTCAAGCCATTTTGCTTATGCTGACCTGTTGGTGGAAGAAAGACAGATATAAAACGGAAAAGACCTCCGTAGCAGAATTGGGAGACAAACTCGTGCTCGTGGCTTGAACTAATGGCGACCCACGTCGGAACACGCCGACTTGTGTAACACCGGCTTAAACGAAGAGTACGACTTCTGCAAGACTCCCAGTGCTTTCTCCCATAGCCTGAACTGTTAATCAAGACATCCAGTACATAAAAAGTTTTAAAACTTACCAAGTAAATCATTAATTACTACTGTCATGGGTAATGTTCATGCCGGATCTGCGGCTGCTCCGCCACCACCGATGGGTTTTGCACCCGCACCACCTTCATCAGCTGAATCTGATAAGGATGTCACAAGCCTTGGACCCCCAGCAGAGGCTGGTGATAGCTTACCTTATCCTGGCACCATGGAGGAACTTCATAAAAAGTGCAAAGGTACGTTTTTTGTATGAATTTTTCTTGGTTTTTGTATAACGTTGTAAGCTCTCTTGCACTCTGCAATTGACATGCATATCAATAAGAAAAATATCTCAGTTTCTGATGAAATATCACCTAAAATTTATGAAAACATGTTTTGTCTAGTATGTCTTGGGACATTTTTTGATCTACAATTGTTAGAATATGTATCATTTACAATATTGGAAGAGATGTAACTGATGACTTTGCATTTTAACTTTTATCATGAATGCAAATCAATATCTGCTTCCTGCAATAATAATTTTCAATTTTCTTCAGATATATTCCCAACAAACTTTGAAGGTGCAAAGTTGATGCTGAACAAAGCTCTTAGTAGTCATTTTCAAATTTCTCATACTATCAACATGAGCTCTATGATGCCTTCAGGATACAGGTAAAAATTTATCCATTTGTTTCTGATAATTTCAATTTAAAAGTACATTTTGTTATATAAAATAAATTTTTCCAGATTTGGCGCTACATACGTCGGCACAAAACAAATTTCCCAAACAGAAACGTTTCCTGTTTTAGTGGGAGACATTGATCCTTCGGGAAATCTCAATGCAAATATTATTCATCAACTCACTCAAAGAATCAGAGGAAAGGTAGCAACACAAGTTCAAAGAAGCAAATTTACAGCTGTACAAATGACTGCTGATTATCGTGGCGATAGTTATTCAGCATCAGTTACTTTGGGAAATCCTGATGTTCTTAATAACTCTGGTGATTATAAATTTATCCATTTAAAATATTGTTTATAAAATCATTAAGTAATTGTATATAATTTAATATTTCAGGTCTAATGGTGTTGCATTATCTTCAAAGTGTGACATCTAATTTGGCACTTGGTGGTGAACTTATTTATCAACAAGGTCCAGGGATTCCAGGTGGATATGTATCAATTGCATCAGCTGCTGGACGTTATACAGTTGGCGATTCGATCATAAGTGGAACTTTGGGTGAGTTGAAAATTATGTTAATGATTTTAAACTTACAACAATTTCAATAGTCTACACAAGTAATGTTTTCTTGAAAGTTATGCACAATTAATCAATTACATACTGTTTTATTATAGGTCTGGCTGGTTGCCATTTGTGTTTTTACCAAAAAGCTAGTCCACAATTGCAAGTAGGCGCAGAACTGGAAGTTAATAGTAGAATGCAAGAAGCAATTGGTACCATAGCTTATCAAGTCGATTTACCCAAAGCAGACTTAGTTTTTAGAGGTTTGTTCTTTCACATATTTTTTAGCGATTGAAACAATTATTTTCTTAATTGCAAATATAAACAAATAATTCTTATGCTATGTACTATTAAATTAATTGGTACTCAAAAAATAATAATTTCCTTACAGGTAGCATTGATTCAAACTGGTGCATTGGTGCTGTTTTGGAAAAAAGACTTCAACCACTGCCTTTGACATTTGCACTTAGTGGTATGCTTAATCAATCTAAAAACCAGTTTAGGTTAGGCTGTGGCCTAATTATTAATTAAATTGTTACTTGTGGAATAAAGTTGGAATTTCATGAAATTTGTAAAATAATTTCATGAACAAAATGATATTATATTGTATCGTGAATGAGGTGCAAAGTTTGCATTTGTGTCATATAACAATTTTTATACCACTTTCATAAAAATCATTGTTTTTATTAGATAGAATAAATTGAACCATTTTACAAAATCAATTTAAATTATTTTTATTTGTATATTACTTCAAAATTAGTATATCTTCATAAATATTTTTTGATTCTAAATAGTATCCTTGTAAAATGGAATGATGAACTTAAAAACTATTTTCATAAAAAAAATTTTTGATTCATTTTGACTGACCATCAAAATTATTGAAAATGGAAAACATGAAAAAATTGTTCTTCAATGAATGAACTATGTTTTTCTATAATGTAGGGTTTGTTTCGTTATGCTTTGCCATTTACTTCAACAATTCAATTTTCAATTATTTATAGATAATTGTATAACATTTATCTGATTGTGAGCATAAATTTGAAATCTATTGTTAAATGACACATAAAACTATAATAACAACTGTTAAATTCCAACTGCTTAATGTGAGTCAGAGGATCAATTTGTATATTTCTCGAAATGAACAACACCAACATTTTTCTATCCTTGATTGCTATTTGTAAATTATGAACTGCGCGTTTTCCAAAAATTGTGTTGAATTTTTCTAAGAGCAATATTGTAAATATATTACGATTGCATTGAATTTAAAATTATTGGTTTATGAAAAGTTTTACTGGCAGTTAATAATTCAATCTTAACAGCAATTTATTCAAGTACTTATGCTTGAGATTAATGTGTACATGATACTTTACATCTTGTCTATTAAATAGGTAAGTTTCATGACTGCAGCAAAATGACTCATGCTCAAGAACTGCCTAAAAACGAAGTGCTTTATTGCATTTTCTCACTCTGTTGCTAAAACATTTTTCAATTTGACGTATTCAGTGGTTGAATTTGAATGTTTTTTATTTCTAATTTTCAAAAAAGACGCAATTGTTAACCATATTTTAGATGTAAGTTACTCATTAATCACATATCGTTCCTGATTTACGAACAATTTTGTTTTGTAGAGATTTTTGACTTTACATATGCTGTTGATTTTTAATGTATAAATAAATAAAACCAAATAAAATCTGAGAAATATTATAACAATTATAGTTTTTACTTTATTTTATTCAAATCACTTTTTTAAGTAGCCAAATTGGAATGCTAATACTCATGAATGTAGATATATAAGAGGGAAAACTTGGCGTTAAAGCTTAGCTAGTGTACTTGGTGATCAACAATTCAAATGACCCTGAATTGAAAGGCGCAACGCAAAAAGGATGAGAATCAAGAATCTTGGATTTCCGTTCAACGCGATGGAGCAAGTGGTAAAATTTGCAAGTTATTTTACCAAATATGGATGTTTAATTATTCGAGGTAAAGGAATAAATTTTTACCAGCGATTCGCTCGCGGAAACGTAGGCTCGCGAAACGACTAGCTGGAGTATCGAGGAGAAAAAGAAATCTTCATTACGCCCGACGCTTTGTAAGTCCGAAGTATAGGCGCATTATACATGTACGGCGCGTTTGTAAAGAGCTGGTATTGTATCGGCGAGCTAGGCTATTCGACGATTCCGAAAGAGCCGAGCTTCGTATATATACATGCGCAATTGGCAGGTTGCATTGCTCTCCAGCAGCGCTCCGAGCTCTGCGAAACATTATATAGCCGTTCGAGTCTCGCAAGTTCGCATACACACACACGCATATAACTTGACGACTCATTTTTCTCTCTCTCTCTCTTTTGCGCGCGCTGTGTTTCTTTTTTCTAGTATTATGAACGGTCAGAAGCAACGGGCACAAGCATATGAGGCTAGCTCCGCGGCTACCAGAGCAACGAGCATCGGAGGCTTCGCCTTTGCAACTCCCCGCTCCGAGCGATTGCAGCAGCAGCAGTGGTCGTGCTCGCGGACTCGTCGAACTCGCGCGAGAGCTTTGCCGCGCGCGCACTTATTACTGCATTCGCTCGTTCACTTGGTGCAACTTGGCTTTTTAGACGTCGAGATTGGCTCGTGCGCTGGACACTGCTGCAGCAGCTGTGAATTGTAGCAGTTTTTTGACAATCGACGAAATGTGCCCGAGGGCCCAACGCGTGGCTCTTTCAACTTGGTAGACTTTACGATCGCCGAGCGTGCATAATCGTTATCAGTGCTTTTCGAGTATTTTCGAACGCTTCGAGACACGACAATTAAGCGAGTTTTTAGTTCTTCGTCCTGTGAATTTGCTCAAGTACCTTTTTTCTCTTATAAAAGACGAGAGTGCGCGAATCAACTCCACGATCTCATTGAATCTGGCAGCAATATGAGCTGTGAAACAGGTGGGTCAACTTTTCTTTCTTCATTTTTTTTTTGCAAAATTGAGAGCATACTTTGCTCATTGTAAACAATGAAAAAATTAATGCGAAAATTGCAAAATATCGAGCCGGTACTTTTATCGCTTCTCTTGACATCTTCAAAAAATGCAGTTCCAGGATTAAACATAAATTATTTGATTACAAACGAGTCAAACGTTTAGTTTCGCAAGTTTGAACTTTTAAGTACCAAAGAAAAATAAAGAAAAACGGTTCACCTAAATTTGATGTAGTACATTGTTGTAAAAATAAAGCGTGTTGAGCTTACACTGGGCCAGGGGTGAAATACGAGACATTCAGATCCAAAAGTATAGAAGAAAAACATACACTTGCCATGGAGAAAACTCAAGCGACACTTACCACAGACTCAACGCTTCAAAATTCTACTCGAGTTTTAAAAGAAAAAGAGTCCTTGATCGGTGTTAAATCTAATTATAGATGCGCGACACATACATATAATACACAGGCACATGCTTAAACTCAGAGTCTGTGTAGGATCGATCTGCTTAACTTATAAGATACACATAGGAATTTTGAAACGTCCGCACCAGTTCATTTGACGAGGTACATGTCTCTCGGATGCGTTTCCAAATTTATGTCAGATTGAAGACTCCTCATCAGTACGTGCACGTGGCCCGGCCGATCGCGTATATCATCATAAAAAGGGGCCTGACCGCATCGCGACCCCCTTTGACAGCTAGATAAACACGATTGACAAATGATCTCTTCGACACTCTAGGCGGACGGTTCGTGTCGACAAGTGCGCCCCGTGCAATCGTATACATACCTACAGACTCCGATCGTATTTGGTTGTGGCGCCATGCCACGACTCGGCTGATCCGCGCATCTCGATATAAGATCGCGCGAGCGACCCGATCTGATATCCATATCGGATTTTCAGGCGTGTACGCGAGCGGGTTGAATGGAGCCACAACGACTGCGACGACAACGGCCCACGAGCACGTGTAGTCTGACTTTATTGTACTCACAACAAGCCGATCAATGAGCCAGTCTATAATATTATTGTTGTTTTTCGATCGCGCGCGCACGACGACGACGACTACGACGGCGACGACACTCAGAGTTTGTTCGATTGATAATTAGTCACGCGTGCGCGCGCGAGCCAGTATAAACAAAATACAGTACGTGTCATCGCGGGTCAGTAAGAAAAACGAACGAGCCGAATTATCGCTGCGAGATTCGCGTCTATGAAGCACGACGATATAGGCCCCGGTGCAAGCTCGTGGCCAGGAACGGGCTTCCGTGTAGCCTATCTGGCTGCTCGCACATACGCACACTTATACTCGATTCCGATGTGTAGTGGTGCACGCAGAGCCGATGACGCACCGTTGTTAAATGTTCGCTGCGTTCCTTTTTTTTTTCCTCTTCGCCATAATAACACAGGCTCGTATACAAGCGGCATGAGCAACACCGACGACGACGACGACGACGACGCGCGTCTTACGAGAAAGAGTCGCTCGCTCGCCTATATCGAATTAATTATTCGATTGTTTGCGTTTTGCCACAGGAAGTTTAGACTTTCGTTGCTTCGCGCGAACGACTGCGAAGCGCGCGCACGCGACAGACGCACACTTTGCCCACTCCATTATAACATTAGTCCTTTGTGTGTGTCTCTCGTGCAGCTCTTCCAAGTGCGATTGCTCCGAGTCGCTCCGAAGCATGTGTATTAGGAACTCGTAGCATTTTTATGGATGATTCGTCGAGGCTTTTCCAGCATTTGTGCCCTTTTGTTCATCTAACTTATGGGGATTGGTATTGGCAATGCTATTTCATCTTCGTGCATTTTTCAAGCTTTATTCCAGACCAATACATACCTGCAGAAGTTAATTAATTTAACTTTCAAACTTGTATGAAACTTGCGCCAATATTTTTCAAAAATCGTAAACAATTGACTCGATTCGATTCCATAACGACATATGGGGAAATCGTGGACGTACATGAACAGATTGAACCAGATTTTACTTGAAAGTAAAAGCACTCCGAGTGTATTCAACTGTATCATAAATCATATTTTAATAACTCAAATATTTGAAATTAATAAAGTAGTAAAAATATATCTATGCAAAAATTGCACGTCAAACTTTCTTTTATTACACCACTCATAAACTTAGATCCAAATGTCAAAATTATGAAATTGATTTTAAAATTGTGCGCTAAATTAAAAATTTTATGATATTTTATATGAAGTTGGTAAATGAAACGGTAGAAAACTTTAAAAAGACAATTGAAAATGATTCGTAGGCAAGTCGTAAAAAACAACTGGAATTATGATTTATGACGTTCTTGGAGTATGTCCAATTTTACTAAAATGCACGCGATGACTCGATCAAACGCCAACGAGATAAAATCAAGGCTTTAAGTGCACCCAAGAGAGAAGAACAATAAAATTAAAGCTTGAGAGAGAGAGAGAGAGAGTACAAACAGCTAAAACGGAGCAATCTATTGTACTTTGTATACGTCGGCGTTCTTGCCTGTCGGTACATGCTGCTCGGGCCATATGTTACTTGCAGCTTATAAAACAGAGAAAGGAACACACAGATATACGTATGGGAGAAGGATGAGCTCCGACGGAGAGGTGGAGCGAGAAAGGATTCTTCAAAATGGCGTTTTTCGCGAACTTTCTCGCTCGGTAGCCGCTTGTACACCTATGCGAGCATAAAACGCGTATCGTGTCTGTATACTTACTGGCGCGTGTATCATGTCTCGAGCGAATGCTACACGCGCGCGTATACGCGTAATACGCGGCGAATCGCCGCGGTCTAGACACAATTGACTCCGCCTTTCGTTCGATCGCGGAGCGTGCGCGCCTCGCGATGCGTACGAAGTATCTCGCTCTGCGATGACTCGTGTCGGTGCTCTGCTTTTCGCGAATCAGCCACGCGCGCTGGACAAAATTTGAACGGCAAAAAACGTTTGGCTTCCAGGAAAAGAGTAGTCAAATTGCGGGTTAATAGACTCTATCTCGAATTCAATGTCCCGCGCGCGATCATTAGCCTCGCGGCTGTTGGACGGAAATTTTTATCGTTACATTCGTCACCGCGTATTGCTGTCTATATACTGCTTTGCAAGGCGCAAGTGTCAAACTCTCGGGTGCGCGCGATAAGTGAGATCCGTATATACGCGCGGTCGGTGTCGTCGCGCCCGATGGACGGATTATATACCACGTAACTTGCTCGGGAGTTTTTTATCTCCGATTGACGAGTTTACACGATGACGAGACGAAGATGACTAGATCTCGCGTGGATGCGATTATATTATAATGCTACATACGCTTCGATCGCGGCACCCTCTATTTTATGCGGGGTCAAAGCGTCAATCAAACGGTTGATTATCGAGTCGTTATAATATATATTCATCATCAGATGTATAACCGCAAGTGCGTCTGTTTTAAGCCGACTCTTATCACCTAGTTTTTTTTTCTCTATTCTTACACTCGTTTTCCTCGTTTTTTTGAAACCTACAAAATGTAACATGTAAACATTATATACCGCTCGTACATCAATTTATATTACGTAGACATAGCTCGGAGAGAGAGAGAGAGATCGAGCAAGTAGCTCTCGAGCTTGATAAGAGCCTTTTTATTACACGACTGATGCAAGCACTCGAAAGCTCGTAAAATCAAAAGTATCTTACGATCTAAAATGCGCATGTTCATTTAATGCGTGGATCATTAAATTATTTTTGTATTTGTGTATCAGTGCACTTCAAAAGCTCTTTATATATAAGCTTACTTGGGGATCTTCACATTCGACAAGTGAAAAACAAAAGTGCTCCATCTTGTTTATACGTTTTTTTTTTTTTTTTTACAAGTAGCGCAGTTGGCAAATGTATAATTGCTTGCATTAGCAATGCGCGACTATTTGAGCAGCGCGTTTATTTCTATCGGCGTTTTGAACCGCGACTCAAAAGGTGTACGCACACTCGCATACATTCGCGAGTATTATAAAAAAAAATGCTCAAAATATTGTGCAACGCGCGCAGCACATTCATTTACTCGTGCACGTATGGTTAATGAATAATAGAAACTTCGTACGTCGCATGGTTCGATGGATTTTTCGGCATGAACGTTCTCGATGTTTGCACTGGAAGTCAGGCTAATTGACTCTATAGTGCGTCAATTCCATAAGCAAAAACAAAAGTTGGTAGGCCTATATGCCGAGCGATCAGTAATAGTAAAAGTTTTCTGTAGTCACCTAGGAAGCTCACTGGCAAAAGGAGCTGCAGCAGCAGTCTTTGGCTCAGCCAAGTCGATCGTAAGATTTTATCGTTTGCTCGCGCGCGCGCGTTCAAGCATTAGGAGCTAGAGGTCGAGTGCTGCTGCAGGCCGAGGCGAACTATGTAGCTCGGTATATAGCTCTGGCTCGCATGCACAAAAGGTACAAGAGTCTATATTATAACTATACACACACATGGCTAGCTCGGCTCAGCTGCAGCAGCAGCAACAGCAGTCGCGCGTCCATAGCTGTAAAATTCATTGCGTCACGGCCGGCCGTGCGCTTACATGCGAGTTCCTTACTTATTTCCTTCTCTCGTTTTTTTTCTCCTTTTTCTCTCGTTTTTCGCGCCCGAGCTCGCGACTACGACCGTACTCCGACTCAATTTGCTCGTTGAGACGCTACGTGCGCGATACCCGTACGCACGCGCACATGTACATAATACGCGCAAGCTCTACTGTATATGGCATTAAGTCTTGGCATTGTTTCCTCGCTTTTCCTCTCGCACGATTGCTCTCTCGCTCCATTCTCGTTCTCTCTCTCTCTCTCTCTCTCTCTCTCTCTCTGCGTTATATACTGCGTATGTAGCTGCGTGCCTATATAATACACACTATGGGTGTTTCACAAGGAAAATATTACGCGCGCTCTCGGGCTGTTTCATTCCTATATTCATGCACATTTTTCGTGCCTACAGCAAAGTAGATGCATTTCTTTGACTTTTTGCTGTCGCTC